CCCCAAAAATTCAAAAGGAGAAGAACCAGGATGGGCCAGCCTCAGTTTCCTCCTATGTCAGGAGGTCAGGCAATCTCATCTTACAGCAGCCCCAACTCTCTCACCATGGCCCTGCCAACTGTGACAGACTCTGGGGCCAGGGAAGCTAAAGCCTCAGAGAGTTTACCCAGGACACACAGCTTAGAAAGCCAGCAGGCCCAGCTCTGATTCCAAGGGCCTGGGTCAAGTGCTGGGTGACCTGAGGCAGGTTGCTTGACCTCTCTGAGCTTCAGTGCCATAATCTGCAAAATAGGACTATTGGGCATCTAGTTTCAATATATCTCACTCTTCCTGAGCCAGGTGTGGTGCTAGAAACCCAGAGCTGTGTGAGGTGGTGTCTGTTGAGCTCAGAGAAAAGAAGCAACTCACCACAAAGTCCCAGTGGGATGCTGGGCAGAGATGGTATCTAGTATATGCTAGTAAGAACTGGCAGCTGGGCTGCCAATGACCTCTGGGTAGATTGAGATAGCCAAAGGGCTTGCACCAAGATTCAGGGTCTCTTGCTTCAGCTCTTGAATGAGTATGTAGAGAGCTGGGGGTCTGGAAAGATCAGGTCACTCTTAGCACTGTGACCTTGAGTGGGTACCAAACTTCTCTCGGCCTTACATATATATAGTGCTGATGCAAGTGTGTGAGTATGACCTGGAACTAGCCTGGACTAGGAAAGTGGCTTCCTGGGTCCTTACATGTGGGCTGAAGGTCCAAGAATGGGGTCTGGTCTAGAGGTCTGGCTGGACTCACCAGTTGGTCTTACCTGAAACTTCCTTTTTCCACAAACACCTTTGTGATCTCCAGGATTCCACCTTTAGCTTGCCTTCTTCCCTTGGGCTTCCTTCTGCTACTAGCTGGCCCAGGTTTTCATCACAGAGTGCTGTGTGTCTGTTCTTTTTGAGTGGTAGCTGGAGTTCTTTACTGGTACATCCTGCGTGCCTGATTCACTTCTTACCATGTTCCCGAAGCATGAGACCTGCCCAAGCCAAATATCCTCCCTGAGCACCCATAGGGATCAGATCAGAAGCTAGTCCCACCTCCGAGGTCCCTTACATCAAGATCATGCCATCTCATCCCAGTAGATGCTGTTGCTAACAGAACCACACTCTACATTGAAAAGCCCAGCACCACCAGGTCCTCTGAGACTCCTTGACTACAGCCCCAGGCTGGCAGGTCTCAGTTTCCTTCTCTGTCCTGGGAGTGCAGTAGCCCTCAGCTTACAGAGGTGCAATGAAGCCGGGCAGATAAAGTTCCTAGGATGTGCCTGGAACACAGTAGGTGCCCAATATATGCAGCATTTCTCCCGTGAAAGGAGCCACATGGGTCTGGGTACACAGCAGATGTCCCAAGGGCAGGCCTAGCATTTTCTTCTCAATCAGAATAAAATGCATTGTTTCCTCTTGGCACAAAGCCAAACCCAATATTAATTTCTTTCTTGAACCATCACAGTTCCAAATGAAATAAAAGCAAGTGGGGCGATTACAGCTTGCTGCAAGCTGCTGCTGTTCTAGTAATTACTGAGCAAATGGGAGGGTGCAAAACTAAGCAGTAGGCTCAGCCTAGGAGGAGGGGGAGAAGGGAGGGGGCTCAGCCCAGGCCTGTTGCTCCACCTCCCCACTACATGCTGGGACACTGGCACTCCTGACTTTCAGGCCCTGGCCTTTCAGCCTCGGGGCCTCGGCCTGTTCCCTGACCCACGAAGCCACAAGACAGACAGAGACTGTCTCAGGTCTCTTCCCTTCACTCCTCTCCCTCACAGCCTGTCACTGGTCCAGCACTGGACTGCCCACCAGCAAGGCCTGCAGCCCCAGCTCCACTGTGGGGCTCCAGTGCCCTGGCAGCCAAGTGCAAGTCTCCATGCTCCAAGGAGGCTCTCTGGCTCCACTCCTGACCCTCAGAATCCTTTTGCCATAGGCAAAGATTCATAAGTCCAAGTCAGATTGCCTGCACATTTAGGATAAAAAAAATCTGAACTGCTCACCCAGGCCTCTGAGGCCCTGTGTGATATGGCCCCTTTTGCCCCTCTATCTGGATCTGTTTCTTGCTTAGCCTCTTTGGTGTCTTTCAAACACCAGGAGCTCCTTCTGCCTCAGGGACTTTGCACTTGCTTTTTCCCCCGAGTTTGAAATACTGTATCCCAGAGTATCACATTTCTGACTTCTAATTCAAACTGAATTTTGTTCTTCTGGCCAAATAAAAGGAGTCAAAGCCTAATTTTGGCCCGTTTGCTATTGAGGATCTAGGACTTCCAACTCCTCGTTTTCTTGTCCCTACAGTGTATCCTCACTGAGGGATCCAGCAGCCTTCTTTTTGCTTTAGCCCCGTTTTTATCAATGGCTTTAGTCACAGAGTCACACTGAGGGCCATCATTGGGACACCACCTTCCTGCCTCCAATCTCTTTCATTAACTCCATCCCCTGACCCAGGAGCCCCTGAGTGATTCTTCTATAGTGCTTATTAGGTCACTTTATTATCCCTCAACCAGTCCCCACGTGCCTTGCCCAGGGTACAGCACTCCTCTCTTGACTTCTGATAGGGGTGATTGAACTGATTGTAAAGACCTACAGCAAACAGACGGCATGCTTATAGCTGTGCTCCCCATGGGGACTGACAAGATGATGCTTGGGTTTATGAAAGGTTGAAACTCTAAGGGACCAGAGTATCAGGCCCCATCCATGTACAGCACTGGTACATTCCCACAGGGGCATGGCCAGGAGCACTGGGTGGGAATCATTGGTTCAGATGCAAATGGTGAAAGTCATGGTAGTGTCTGAGATTTCTTGAGCCCCAGACATCCAGTGCAAGGGTGACGATGCATACCTGTGTGCATGGCCCTGTTCTCATCCCCCCATTATCTGGATATAGAGCAGAGAGGTGAGGCAACTCAACCTTCAGTAGGCGCTGGAGGAAGCTAAGGTCTGACTTGGCCCTGAGGTGACTCCAGTGCTGGGTAAGTCAAAGAGCCTGCTGCATCCAGAATCTTCCTTGGGCATCAGTTCTCTCACCCTGGCTTCCTTCACTGATGCTCAGACATAGAAATAAAATCACCACACATGGCTATGTGGCTCTAAGCAACCTGCCCTGGTACTCCTGGGCTGGACTTGAGGACTCAAGGACAGCACTTCTGGGGACTCAAGGGGCAGCATGAAGGAATCTTAGAGTGACACATGACCAGGGGCCCGCCTTCGCCCATCACTGCTGCTGTCACAGGCTGGTGGTGGGTACTAACAGTGGCCTGACAGCTTTGGTCCTGGAGACAGAAGGATGTAGGAGGTGGAATGGCCTTGTTGCAACTCCCTGAGCATGGCAGGAGAGACGGTGAGAGAAGGCAGAACTCACTTTTGTAAAATCCCACTCCAGCAACAGTGACACTGATCCATCAATGGGACCAGAGCCCTTATGACCTGACCATCTAACAGATGTCACATTTAAACTGTAGCAGGGTTGTTTTGTGGTATCCTAGTGTGGAGTAGCTGAACTTAAGGCCTGGAAGTACAAGCTAAGATGCCTCCTAGATACCCTCTCCCTCTCAGTGGCCAGCTCTCTCTGTCATGCCCAGGAACCCCCAAGTCACTCTTTCCTTTTGCCAAAATCCCAGAGAAGGAGTCTGAATGGCCAGCCTGGGTTAGGTGGTCAACCCTGGTCTGAGCTGATTAGATCATTTTGAGTAACTATGGCAGCTGGCGCTCACAGGGGTAGATGGTGAGATAGTTGAAGACGTTGCTGTCAGGAGAGAAGGGAGCACACTTGCCCATCCAGTTCCAAGGCTGCTGTCTGCATATCCTGACTCTGGGACAGACCTCACCTGTGGCCTCCAGCTGTCTCCGTCCTGGAAGGTGAAGACTGTCCCTACCGCAGGCCACAGTTCTCCCTGGTGTGGTCAGGCCCAGACAGGATGGAGACAGGCATCCAGGACTAACCCGCCACTGTGGAGGAGCTCAAACTGAGCCGGCTGCCCTGAGGAGGATGGCTATGAAGCCTTCTTGTGGGAGGAGGAGGCAGTGGCATTGGGTAACAGGCTGCATGCAAGGGGCTGGAGGCTGTGCACATGGGGTAACCTGGGCAGAGCCCAGGCCCCAGGCTACCCAGGGATGGGACAGTGCCTGCTGCACATGGCTTTTGCTCATCTCTCATGTGGAAGCCACAGAGCCCCACTTTCCTTCATGTGTTCCAGTTTGTTCTGAGGGTCCCATAAGTTTATTTTGTGTCATTTTATTAAACAACTTCAATAGAACATTCTAGAAAAAATTTAAGCCCAAAGAAGAAAAGAAAAGCCATTCATACATGAATCCCTGTTGAGATGTTTTGGTATATCCTTCCAGGGTGGGGTTTCTTTGTTTTTAATGAACAGATATGGAGGTAGAAATTTCAATGAGATCACCTTTAAAGACTGTTTCCAACTCTGCCTTCTTCACTCTATAAAACACAGGACTCTTCTTCTGTGGAAAAAAGCTGTTTCAAACTCTTCCTTCCTCACTCTGTAAAACACAGGACTCCGACTTTACTCATGTTTTGACATGATCTTCTATAATATTTCTTCAAGTTTGGGTAGAAGATGAAGAAAAATATCAGCTAGAATAAACTTTAATTTTGTTTATTAAAAAAAAGAAAGAAGACAAAATATCAAGCAAGTTCTCTGCGTCCCAGAGGAGCCCTGAGCACTGCCCCCACTACCCCTGACTCTTCTTTTCCCTTTGATAAAATTATGGAACATCTTCCTTAAATTGCCCCTGCCCATCCCCACAGCTGTCCCAACACAGCCCTCCTGCATGTCTCCAGCATCCATGGGCCAGCACCTTGCAGCATAAACTCACTGCTGTCAATCACCCTGGCTGGGGACACTCTGCAGTCACACGCACAGCCTGGGCCCTCCACCCGCGCTGCTTCCTGTGCCTGCTGTCCACTGCTACCCCAGCCCTGCCTGGCCTAGACTGCCCATTCACCTCCCTCCTCTTCTTCATTCCCTGCAGGCTCCAGGGAGCCTTCTGGAACTGACCCACTACAAAGACCCATCAGGTAAGGCGAGCAGCTGGGTATGGTGAATCATACTTAGACCCTTTAGCTGACTTTGCCACAACTTGCCAAGCCAGAGAAGATTGGCCCCATTGAATAGATAGGAAAACTGAGGTTCAGAGTGATTAGGAGTAGTTCTCCCAGGCCTGGGACAATGACTGAGTCAGTAAAGTACTTGGGGTACCAACATGAGTTCAATCCTCAGTACTCAGTCAAAAGCCAGGCATGGGCACATGAGCCTGTAACCCCAGCATAGCAGTGGTGGAGACAAAAGGACTGCTGGAGCTTGCTGGCTGCCTGAATAGCCGAAAAGCCATGAGATCCAGGTTCAAAGAGAAACTGTGTCTTCGGGAAATAAGGCTGAGAGCAGTAGAGTGGCCTGTGTCCAGGCCAGTGAATGACACTAGCTCAAAAAACAAAAACAAAAAACAGCAACATCCTGAATGTCCTTGAGGAACAATACCCAGGATTGATCTCTGGCCTCCACACATATGTGCACACATGTGCACCTGCATTCACATGAGCATGTACACACACAGGTACATAAAAGTAATATTAAGTACTAGTACTTAGCTGGTAAAAGAAAAACTTGAACTGAGGACTGGTCTGAGGCCAGTTTTATGGCCTGTTCTCCATCCCACACTGTCTCTTTAACTGGGGTGTCAGTCGGCCATCTTAGGGTGACCAAGGACAGGCAGAGGCTATGCCAGTCATGGCCCTTCCCTCAGCAAAGGACAGGGTTAGATTGCAAACAGAAATCTTTTTCTTTTCTTTATCCACCCCTCTCCTTTTTCTGACCATCTTGCTGTATAACCCAGGCTGGTCTCAGCTCAAACTCATGATCCTCCCTCCTCAGCCTTTTAAATGCTGGGATTACAGGAGTACACCACCACATCTGGCTTCTCTGACATTTTCTTAAAGACTTGGGGCCTTTAAAAACTGATTGCGTGTTATTGTCTTTGTTTTAAAAGATAGAGTAGGGCACAGAGAGATTGAAACAGCCAACATCACACAGCTTAAAAGTGGTAAGGTGAATGGTGAGCAGAGCTCCTTAACTCTGAGACTCCACTGTGTCCACCACCACCTGCAGCCAGGATACCTCCCTGTTTGACTCCTCCGTGGTTGGCCTTATCATGGCCCTAAGAGGAGGACAAATGTCCTAATTGTGTTCTTGGAGGTAAAGCAAGCATCTTACCATTAAGTTCCTATTTCATTTTGGAAACTTGGTAACCCTGCATCTCTCTTCAGAGCAGGACACATAAGGCAGGTTTGTGACCCAGATCTCAGAATTGGAGCAAGGCTTGGGGCAGCAGGGACCCATCATCCACCCTCTCTGTCTTTCAAACCATGGAGTGGAGCCTGGGGGTAGAAGGAGTTTAAGAGTCTTTTCCTGCTGTTGGGGATTAGTTTGTTACTGTAGTGTTGGGGACAAGGCACCTCCAGGGTCCTCCATATCGTTGTATGTAACCCACCCTGTCCTCCTAGTGTGACCTCCTGCCGTAAAGCTGCTGTCCACGTGGACTGGAGCTGACATCACACACCAACCTGTCAGGACCCCTACAGCCAAGCTCCAGCTCCGAGACATGGCAACTGAGAGCAGCAAGGTGGCTGATGGGCAGATCTCCACTGAGGTCAGCGAGGCCCCTGTGGCCAGCGACAAGCCCAAAACCCTGGTGGTGAAGGTACAGAAGAAGGCTGGGGACCTCCCTGACCGGGACACATGGAAGGGCCGCTTCGACTTCCTCATGTCCTGTGTGGGCTATGCCATTGGCCTGGGCAACGTGTGGCGGTTCCCATACCTCTGTGGGAAAAATGGCGGTGGTAGGTGGCAAGTGGCAACCAGGTCTTGGTATCTTCTAGGGCCATCTTATGGGAGAAGAGAGTCTTTGGGAACAGGCCCCACTTCTTGCCATTTGTCTTTGTATCAAGAGTCCCCAAGGACAGTTGTCCTGGTATCAGATGTTCCTGTCTTAGTTCTGTACAGAGTGGGGTGTGCATTTGAACAGAGGATGCCTTTGGGCTTCCATTTGGCTCTGGGTGCTGCTGGGAGTAAGGGACCGGTGGTGGAAACCTGTGGAGCCATGCATGTGTCTCCCCCAGGGGCCTTCCTGATTCCGTACTTCCTGACGCTCATCTTTGCGGGGGTCCCGCTCTTCCTTCTGGAGTGTTCTCTGGGCCAGTACACCTCCATTGGGGGCCTGGGTGTGTGGAAGCTGGCCCCCATGTTCAAGGGTGAGTGCAGGAGCTGAATGTGTGGAGGGGTCTTCCCTGAGGTTCTTGGAAAGAGTCCACCTCTGAGCAAGAATAATGGGGTCCTCTGTGTGTTCCACCCCAGGCGTGGGTCTCGCAGCAGCCGTGTTATCCTTCTGGCTAAACATCTACTACATCGTCATCATCTCCTGGGCCATCTATTACCTGTACAACTCCTTCACCACAGTAAGTGGCCACAGCTGCCTGGGCTACCTTGAGCTTCAGGGATCCCTTGTCTGCTCACTGGTCCTTGAATGAGGGGCATAGCTTATCTCCCATAGCAACTTCCCTGACTAGGTATTTTGGAAGCTCAAGTCTAACTCTCAAGATACTCCACAGGGGGTCACCATTAGCCAATTTTGTATTGGATGGCATGGATTTGAATCTTGGCTCTACTAGCTACCAGCTGTGCAACTTTAGGAAACAGTATTAACCTCTCTGAGACCTCACTGGTCTCATTTATAAGATGCAGATAAAACTGAAATTCACCCCCATTCCTCTAACAGTGAAAATAAAATTACCATGTGATCCAATAATTCTGTTTCTAGATCCAAAGAACCAAAAGCAGGATCTCAGAGACACTGGTATCGTTGCACACATGTTTACGGCAGCATGTTTCACAAGTCAGTGCTCAGAAACAACCCAGTGTCCCCAAGGACCAATGTGTGACCCAATGTGCACAATGGAATATTACTTGGCCTTAAAGAAGAAGGAAACTCTGAGCCATGTATCATGTGGATAAAACTTAAAGACAATAAGTCCATTACAAAGATCAAATGCTTTGTGATTCCACCTGCATGCAGTCCTTAAAGCAGTCAGATTCAGAGAGACAGAAGGCAGCATGGGGGAACTTGAGGTTGTAGGGAGTTAGTGTGTGGAGGAGACTGGGTTTCTAGAAAGTTTTGCTGCACAACACTGTATGTGCTTCATGCTGCTGAGCTACACACTGAAAAATAATTAAGATGATAAATTAATTGTTTTGATTTATTTTTATTTTACGTGTATGAATGTTTTGCCTGCATGTGTATAAGTGCACCTTGTGTGTGAAATACCCACAGAGGCCAGAAGAGGGCATCAGATCCCCTGGAACTGGAGTTATGGATGGTTGTTAGTCACCATATGGGTACTGGGAAACCGAACTCGGGTTCTCTGCAAGAGCAGCCAGTGCTCTTAACTGTTGAGCCATCTCTCCAGTCCCAAGATGGCAAATGATCTATATTTGACCAGAGAGAGAGAGAGAGAGAGAGAGAGAGAGAGAGAGAGAGAGAGAGAGGAAGAAAAAAAAAACACAGCCCCATAAA